GTCGTTAACAAGAACCACTACAATCGATAGATAAAGCCAGTCGACCAAGACTAAACTTCTAATATTGAGGACACAAACGACACGACCTAAAAACAAATCTAGGTGTAAACAAACACACGCACCGTCGATAACCAACTAGATGGATGGGACACATAAACAAAATTGGATTGTGAAGAAACCACTATTACAATACATAAACTTGGCAAAAACAACGCATTTATTCAAATTAACAAAACACTTTATGGGCTTGTTCTTTTAGAGTAAAACTCAAAAAAAGTTTGAACTCAAGTTATAACTTTATTTAATTTCATGTTCATTCGTGAAATTTGAGTTTGAACTTGAGTTTTAACTTGAGTTTAGGGCTAAAATATGAGTTCAAGTTTCCCCTTCAACTAATTTTTTAAACTCAACCTCAAGTTAATGAACGGTATTTTTTCTATTCTTAAAAACGTCATAACTTTTTCATTTTAATTCCGATTGAGATGATTTTTTTTTCTATGCATTCACAACGAAGAGACGAATAAAACCTCACCCATATACCCTATTAAAATTTTTCATCACCATTGAGTTTTTATTAAAATACTATCAAAATACAAATTCAAGTTTTGACCTACTCAAACACAAACTCAAATAGATTCTCAATTCAAATCATAACTTAAATGTGCACATCCAAACACAAACTCAAGTTACAACTTCAATTCAAATTATAACTCAAATTCAACTCAAGATCTATACTCAAGTCACCATAACTAAAAAATACAACCGAACAAGCCCTGTGAAACCTACGAATAGCCTCAGCCATACAGGAATAGAATCCAACGACAAGCCAACAACCATTGTATGGGAGCCAAACAAACCGGATCTGAGCAAAACCGTCATAATAGAAACGTAAGTGCCACTAACGAAGCTAAATGTAAAAACAACTCAAATGATGTCCTTGCGCCACATATCCATTAGCAACTTTCCACTCCTCACCATATCTATGCCTCCATTGCCAATGGACCACACCCATTAACCATTAACCACACCTACACGACCTCAGCCACCGTCTCAAGGGCCAAGAGTCTAGCGACCAACCAATGGCGATGGCAGACTCCAGCCCTAAGAAGAGATTCCAAACTTAAAACCCTAGCCGCCTCACTAGATAGAGAAAGAGAGAGAAGAGAAAAAAAGAATATGCAGTTTATGTTCTACATCTTTAAGTTATACTAGTTTTTTAACGTGCTTGATCGATGGGAAAATAACACCTATTTTCTACTCGCAAGTGCACGAGGTCGACAAGTAATAAAGTAGTGAGTGAGTGTCGTGTCCCACGAGGATTGTGTTCCTAAAATCTAGCTAAGTATCACAACTAGAATAACCCAGTTTTATCTAGACAAGTCCAATCATGAGAATGAGATCAATCAAAACAAAAAATAAAATGCTAAACTAATTAGACGAGCAAATTAAACAATGGAAGAAACTTTTGGGATCGAAGGGAGCTCTAATGATAAGGTAGCTAGGGTCCTTGATTTCACCTTGCCTAATTATTCTAATCCTTTTTTAATGCTATTGATTTCTCTCAAGCCAAACATTAATCATGAATTTCCTAAAATAATCCAACTCCCTCTCTCGAGTGCCGAGTCAAATATATGCAAAATCACCTAATTAATATCCCTATTAATTAAGTTAATTGTGCATTCATTAAGCTCTAATTCATTTGTGATTACCTAGCTCATATTCATCTCTCGACTCCAATACTCACTAGGTTGTGTTCAACAAATCTCAACATGTGCAAGTGACTCTCTCAAGCCTAAATCCACATATCTAAATCTTCTAATCAATCTTTCAATTTATTAAAGCATTAAGCAAAGAAGAGCACAAATGTTTGGGCATGGAAAACATCAAATAGCATCAAATATTCATAGCATAATCGTAACAAGGTTACATCAAGTCCCCTAGCATAAGAATCTAACCACCCATCAATGTAAACTCAAATATATTCAAGATTAAACAAATCTGAAAATACATGATAAATCCGCAAAAATAGAGAAAATACTAAGTCTAAGAACAAGAGAAAGGGAGAGGAAGAAAAATAAAACTCAGTGTAGTCCAGCTTCCAATCTCCAAGAACTTCCTCTGATTCCCCAGAAAAACTCGGGTTTTCTCCTCTATGTCTGCTGCCCCCAAAAATTAGGGTTTTTCCTTTTTGTCTATGTTCCTCTCCAAACTCCCTTCTGCCTCCTGTTTTCTTTTGCCCGGCCAAATTCTATAGGCCCCCCTCAGAGCACGCGGGCGCGCGCTTGGGTTGGGGGAACAGCGCGTAAGCGCGCGCCTGAAGTTGGCGGAACGTGCCTAGCGCGCGGGCGC